CAGAGACCTTTCCTCCTGGCCTTCCTCAGGAGAACACGGCACAGCACATAAGGCTTAACATCGCAGTGAAGCACCTCAGAACACTCACCAGGGATCTGGCTTTCACGAGGTTGTGAGGGCACGCCACCTGTGGCAATCAGAATGTGAGGAGCGGTGTATTTTTTCCCATTGACCTCTACCGTGGGCTGGGGATCACTTGTGAATGTCGCATAGCCATGGATGATATCTATATTGGACTGGAAGGAAACACCACATTAGCCTATTTAGATTAAAAAAAAAAAACCACCTACTATAACATATGAGTGATTTCATTTCTCCACTGAAGAGTTTGATTTTCTGTTTGCAGTAGGCAAAACCATTCTGTTGCTCATAAACTCCCAACTAGCAACTGACACACAAGGTAGGAGGTGGCAGAGGCTGGAAGTACACACCAAGAAAGGAAGGTGCTATCATGGGCCCAGATCCAGGAGGCAAAAAATACCTGCAGGTCACTCCCACAAGGAAAAAGGTAACAGCTTTTTTCCTAAGAGTTGAGGGAGAAAGTCTTCACAATAAAGAGACTGAAAAATGATCCGGGGGGAAAAAAAAAAGAAAAGAAAAATGATCTGGGGGAGGGGAAGTTGGATGAGAATGACAAATGAACACAGGTGAGGCAAAGACGCAAGGCTTTTGTCTGCTTAAAAGTAACCTGACAGTGGCGTTCTCCTAGAGACCTGCAGAGAGTCAGAAGAAGGATTTCTTCTCACTGGCACCCTGTCCACTTGGGTGGGCTGGCGGGCTCATGCCAGCCACACTACATGTCCTGGCATGCAATACTGGGCAGCTTATGCGGATAAGGGAACCAGGTCGGTGTGATCATACAATGGGACTTTTCAACACCTGGGAACGTGTTTGGTTCTGAACTGAGTTACTGCCGCCTTTCCAACCACCCCTCTGGGCCTGTTTCTCAGGTGTCTGGCTTCTGCAAGCCCAATTAAGGCCAGTGCCAAAACCCACAAGGCTGCAGAACATCTCCTCTTCGGGGTAACGAGTTCCTGTGCAGTGCCAGGCTGGCAGGGGTGTGGACCAAATGGTGGGTGTACACACAGCAGCTCGTGGTAAGATCTTCACTTCCTACGCCAGCAGGCAGAAAACTGCTGCCGCCACGCGGAATCTCAGATCGGCTATAGTTCCTGCACATAAGGTCCTCACAAGTTCTACTACACACACCAAAACTTCAAGGTATTAAAAAAGCTACATTCTCAGTATTTTTTCTATATTGCTCATTCTCTCTCTCTCTCTCTCTCTCTCTCTCTCTCTCTCATACTCAGATCCTCTTTATTTATTCTCTCATCCTTACTGTCACAGACATGGTGTCACTAAGTTGCTAAACTCTTGAAGCTGGAAGCCCAAACTTGCGATCCTCCTGCCTGACCCTGCAAGGAGGCCACAAGTAGCAGGTGTCATCACGTTTGGCTATTTTTCCAATCTTTGTCTTTTGAGATGAGGTCTCACCACATAGTTCCAGCTGGCCTTGAACTCACCATGTAGCATAGGCTACCCTTGAACTGGCAGTGATGCTCCTGCTTCAGCCTCCTAAGTGCTAGGATTACAGGTACCCACCACCATGCACGGTTCCCATCTCTCTCTATTTCTTTTTTTTGGTATAGGGTCTCACTATGCAGCTTAGACTTATAGTGATCCTGTTTTCAGCCTCCCCAGCACTGGGATTACAGGCGTGTGCCACCATACCCAGACTCGGTGGCTGGCTCAGTGTACCTCGGGGCAGGGCTGTAACAGCATGTGGTGCCAGGGACTGAACCCTGGTTCCTGTGCTTGCCTAAGCAGGGGCTCAGTCCACTGAGCTCTTTGCTGGCCCTCTCATCTCTTTTATAAAAGTCTTTTACTAGCTCCATTTAAGAAATTTGATGCCCTTAGTATATCAAGTGGTATTTCTATAACACAAGTCCTGCAACTTCAAAAATCTCTTGTCTCCATGTTCCAATAGAACTACAGGCCCTTAAGTACCTCTTCCCCTGTAAATTGGGGTTTAAGGACAAAAAATATCATCCTCCAGCAAATAAATCCAAAGAGCAAGAAAAATCAATATAAAGTATCTGAGGTTAGCCACCAATAGAGCAATTCACCCTTTAAAAAAAAGTTTTACAAATGTACTATTAATGAGATGAGGGTAGACTAAATATTAAGAATCTACTGTCATCTAAATATAACCCAAGGGGCCAAGGAGATGGCTCAGTAGAATAAGCACTTGCCTGGCAAGTGCAGGGTCCTGAGTTCAATCCCCGGTGCTGCAAAAATAAAAAAGGGCTGGGGAGATAGCTCAGTAGAATAAGTGCTTGCCTGGCAAGCGCAAGGGCCTGAGTTCAATCCCTGGTTCTGCCAAATAAATAAATAAAATAAAAAATATAACCCAAGCTATGTAGAAATTATGAATGGAGATCATGAAAACAAAAGAAGGGTGGTGGACACAGACACACACGTACATGCACTCCTGTCAAGAACAAGGAGGCTGGGAACTACAATCTGCCAGACCACTAACACTATCCCAGGTGGAAACCATATGACCTCCAAGTATTCAACTGGAAAGTCTCAGGACAGCAAAGGGTACCACATAATTGCTGGAGGGAAAAACAACTTGGCCCAGTTTTCTTGATCAGATTTCATACATTAGTCTTCTGAATCATAACTTGGCCTCCCAAGTAGATCTAGCCATCAAGGACAAAATTGTTCTGAGCAAATGAACAATGGTAGGGTTTCAGCCAGATGGCGTTGCTGATTTTAATTAGTACATCACAGACTGATACATAAAACAGTCTCTTCTGCTCGAACCTAAGTGGAGGATGAAACACACTTGAGTCTACAGGGGAGCCTGGCTATGGACTTAGGCCCACACTACCCATGCTCCTTGGGAAAGAGACTGGTACGTCAACTTCAAAATCATTAATCAAAATCATAGAAGCAGGGCTGGCCAGATAGCTCAGAGGACTAAAGGGCCTGCTTTGCCAGGTGCAGGGACCAGGGTTTGATTCCCGGCATGTGTACCAGCCCCGCCACTGGGGCACTCTGAGACAGTGACTGAGTCTGGACATTGGGAAGCTGAAAACAGGAGGATCACTATGAATCTGTATAGTGACAGCCTGTAGAACCTGTACTAAAAAAAAATAATACTAATACTAATACTAATACTAATAATCATAGAAGCATGAAGGTATTTCAAGATACATCAAAAAGTTATATTTCCATCTGCCCAAACCTGGCTGCCTACTCCCCAAGAGCAGCTCCTTCCCAAGTTCAAGACTTAGCATACACGTACCTTGGTGAGGTTGTTCTGATAGATGGTGTTCAGGCGGCTCACGTAGGCGTCACGCTTCTCCTTTATCACACTACAATGAAAACCAAGTCATGCTCAGACACAGGATGGCCCTCTTTCAGTCAGTGACCAGGCACCTAGCCCTGAACACCCCTTAGCAAAAAATCAGCCTGCCCGAAAGAATGAAGCAGCCAACGGCTCAAAAGACAGCCATCCCTCTAGGCATGTGTGTGCTTTTCATATTGCACCCCAGATGCCCAGGGGGCAACCACAGTATGTACCCTCATTTCTGTGGAGAACATAGACAGCTGTTCTAGCACAACACCAGTGTATGGAGGCCATTCAATATATTTGTTTCAAAAAATGGATGTATTTGCCAAAAGTTTTTTTTTTTTTTTTTTGGTGGAACCAGGGATTGAACTCAGGCCCTTGCACTTGCCAGGCAAGTGCTTATTCCACTGAGCCATCTCCCCGGACCCGCCAAAAAGTTTTTGAAATTTTGACAACTTCAAAATTTTACAGCATTTTTAAAGTTAAACATAGAATGGCCATGTTACCCAGGTACAGACCAGAAGAATTAAAAGCAGAGACTTAAACAGATATTTGTACACCAATGCTTATAGCAGCATTGTCTGTGACAACACAGAAACCCATGCACAAGTGGGTGGACAAACACACTGGTTTATCATATAATGATAAATTTACTTAGTAGTTAAGCATGAACTACTGACACAGGCTACAGTATGGATGAACTTTAAAAATGCTATGCTAAGTGAAATAAGCCAGACATAAAAGGAAGGGTATTATATGATTCTACATGTATGACAGACACTAAGTCAGAGACAGAAAGTGGAATAGGTACCAAGAGCTAAGAGAAAAGAAAATGAAGAGCTCTTGTTTAGCACATACAGAGTTTTTGTTTGAGATGGAGGGAAAGTTCTGGAAATGGATAGTGGTGATGGCTACACACTATTAGGTGCAATTAAAAGGAGGTAAAAATGGCCGAGCATGTGCTTAATGTCACTGAATTGAATGTCAAAATGTTCTGGCATGATACACACATCTCTAACTTCGGTGAGCTACAAGGCTGAGACAGGAGGTTTATATGTTTGAGGCCAGCCTTGGCAACTTAGTGAGATTCTATCTCAAGATAAAAAATACAAGGGAATGAGGAGAATGCTCAGTGGTAGAACAGTTGCCTAGAATGTGTGAAGCCCTAGGTTTGATTTTCTGTGTTTTTCATCAAAATAAAACCCAACCGTTCCAAAAAAGTTCATGACTCACACACTTAAGAAAATATCGATTTATAAATTGAACACTTTGAATACTTACCGCCAATTGAATTTACTCTCACAACTTTGAAAGCCATAATCACCATGGTCATGCATAAACTCAGAGTGGACAGCTGTGTTCCACATTACCTGTTTTAAAAAAGAGGAAAAATAGAAATTATGAATTAATGGTAACTATATAACAGCAGATAAAAATCCTGACTTGGAAATTAAAAGTAAACTGAACATATTGAAAGTTCAGAAGTGTAACCAGATAGATTTTTGTAGAAAAATTTAATTGGTATATTTGGAAATATTATGATTCTGATCATGACTTACCAAATATGAAAAAGAATAGAAAGAGAATAGAAAGAATAAAAATCTACCTTTTTGGGTACACATCCAACATTCACCTAGAAAAAAAAAAAAAGACACAATGTTAACATTTAAACACACGCCAATAAATAAATAAATAAAAGCCACTAAACCCCAAGAGGAGTTTCAAATAGGAGACTTCTTTGATTTTTAAATCACAGTGAAGTAGATTTAACACTTACTCCTTTTTCTCTAAGATAGAATTGAGAAGCAGTACTCTTCTCTGTTCTTTTTCTTTTTTTTATTATTTTCCTGATGTGATGAAATAGAAAATTTTTATTCCTTAGTATTTTTTTCAAGAAAAGCATTCACTGAGAGAGACAAAAAAGCAATGCAATCAGAGCACTTGCTCAGCTAGAGTATTTCTGGATAAAACACCAGGGCCCTGCCATAAAATTGGTCATGGGAATCCACCCTATTTCTCGGGGAAAGCCAGCAAGATTCATTTCCTGCTCTAATGTCTTAAAAACATACTAGACACAGATCAAAAATTTTACTCTTAGACTTCAAGAAGACAACATACAGCAGAAAATCAGTAGTTGTAAGGTTTCTTTCAATAAAAACTCACCAGATATTTAGGAAAAAACTGTTTGTATAGTTAGACTAAGAGAAATTCCTCTCCAGAATCTATATACAAGCTGTAGCACACACTGTTGTGCACAACTGTCAAGTTTCTTTTGCTCATTTCCTATTCCTTTTAAAGTGGGGTTAAGTAGGACCTTAACTACAAGGCCTTGAAAGCTGGAAATTTGGACGTAACCAAATGGATAACTACACTGTACCCTGGCAGAGCAGCAGCTTACAGAAGGAAAATAGACTGATCTTACTTTTGTTCCTTTAACTTCTGGCCTCAGCTCCCCCAGAGTGCTGGTTTACCAGCATGCACCATTGTGCTGGATTTTTCTTTTAAGAAGGACAAATATAGGCTCCTCCAGCACTCTGGACTTGACTTCTACTGTGTACTTCTGATGCCTTTTAACCTTAGAAATGCAGAATGCAAGGTGCTGGTGCTGGCTAAGGTTTGTCTTTGCCACTAAAATGAAGTTAGACTTACACAAGGTATCCAGTGTGTATCCTTTTAAAAAGTCAATATGGTCCCTCATCCCTCTTAGTATAAAGACTGAACATTTAGATATGCAGCATGGAACTAGGATGCTGACTACCCATCAGTAAAGGAACCTGAGGAAACCTAACTATCAGATCTCATAAAATGAATCTGAACTAGGTATGGTGGCACATGCCTGAAATCTTACTACTCAGGAAGCTGAGACAGGTGGACTGCCAAGGATTGCAAGGCCAGACAGGGTTGAATATAGTGAGTTCAAGGCCAGTCTGACCTATATAGCGAGATTCTGCCTCAAAAAACAATTAGAGGGGGGAGGGCCTGGCCTTAGCTCAGTTGTTTAAAAGTGGCTGCTTCCACAAAGCTGTCAGCCTCAGGTTGCTGTAGTTCGATCCCCACAACACTCCAGCCAGCCAAACCAACCCTCAGGGCATTCAGATCAAAAAAAAAAAAAAAACAATTAGAGGGGCCGGGGAGACAACTTAGTAGAATAAGCGGCTGCCTGGCAAGGCCCTAAGTTCAATCCCCGGTACTGGGGAAAAAAAAAAAAAATTGAGAGCCAGGAATACCGCTCAGTGGTAACTGAGTGCCTGCCTAGAAGCACCAGGCTCATGCTGTGTACATACATAACACTGGCCGAAAATCATTCCCCTTATGCTGTTAGTACAGCACAGCACATCCTATTTGGTCCAGGGTTTGGAAAAGTGACCTAGATAAACAGTCACACCCACTCACGTGCCCGAGGGTACACGTTTAAGGCTATTCCCCAAAGCAGTCCTAACAACTGGAAAGAAGTCAACTAGCCCTCTGTAAGAAATATTAAATGCAATACTGTACACTGAGCCTATGGACCATTTTGCAGCCACTTCAAAGGATAAGGTACCTTTCTATGTACTGTTAGAGAACGAATTAAGATGCCGTATCTCCTATTAGTTTTCTTTTCTTTTTAAATCTTTTTGAGACAGGTCGTCACTGTGCAATTCAGGCTGGTCTCAATGTCACAGTGACCCTCCTGCCTTAGCCTCCTGACTACTAGAATTACAGGCCTATACCACCATGCCTGGCTCTATCAGTTCTAAGACACTGCTCACAACCTGTGCATAGTGCTATATACTATGTTTTCCTCCACACATACATACTTATGATAAATATTGATTTATAAGTCAGAAGAGTAAGAGATCAACAAAATAATAATAATAATAATAATAATAATAATAATAATAATAGAACAACGATAATGATACACTGTGCTAAAAAGTTACATGAGGCCAGGCATGGTGGTGGATGCCTGTGATCCCAGCACCTGGGAGGCTGAACTAGGACCACTGTGAATTCAAGGCCAGCCTGGGCTATGTTGTGAGTTCAAAGAAAGCCTGGACTAGAAAGCTAGGCTCTGTCTCAAAAAACAAAAAGCTCAGGGAAGCTGCAAACAGGAGGATCACTACAAGTGCGAGCTGAACAGTGAGATCCTGCACAAAATACAAAAACAAAAACCAAAACCAAAAAGTTCTATGAGTGTGGTTTCTCTCTCAAAATGTCTTGTTGTATTATAGTCACTCTTGTTGTTGACTCCAGGTAACTAGAACCATGGAAAGCAACATGGTGGACAAGAGGAAATTACCATACAGTATCATGTGACAAAAAGAAACTTGGGGAGCAATAATGAATGCATGGCCCAGTGGTGGTAAACCTACGGCACACGTGCCACAGCAGCCTGCTTGTCTCACTGAAAGCCCTAGAAGGTTCACCATCACTGCCATGGCCCGATCTGTGTTTATACACTGCAGGTATGTACATTTTTAGATCCTGCACCACACAGCATCTTGGTCAGCAATGACTCTGCCCAGCAGCGGTCTCAGAGAGAATCTCCTAGTGCTGCTGCAGTCACCTTCCTTTGTGTACATTCTCTCGGATGTCCACACAAGGGAAGTTGGCTGACAACACATTCTCAAAACAGTCTCAGCACTGAGGGAGGCTCTAGGTCCATTTAAACACAATTTGGCTATGCTCCAAGCAGACCCAGTGCTACCTCCAGGGAGGGGGAAAGCTGCTGCATTTTCTACTCTATACTTTTTATAATGGGATATAGTTATTTGCCATCTGCTATTTCTTTCATCCACTTGCTTATAATACAATTTTTATAAGAAACTGAACACATTCTAGATATAACTTCTATTAGGTGTTCTAGCTCTGCCTATCACAATCACGCAAACCAGATTAGCTTTCCGCACACCCAGGAATACAGGTGTGGCTTTGGTAACACATTCTTCCTGGGTGTCCTGTTGCAGAGCCTGAGCCATATAAGTATGTGTCAAGGCATTTGATATGACATGCTAAGTTCAAACAGATCTACCCAAATCTCATTAAGATCTCTCAGGTTGGAAAGGAGTAGTCTTTCTGGAAGTGATCTATTCCTCTACTTGTTCCAAATTCTATCCTATCTGCTTTCTGAGGAACTGAGCACTGAGCTTGGGGGCTCACGCACAACAGGCAAGCACCAATCGCTGAGCTGCATCTCTAGCCCCATGCTTCCAAATGCATCTGCTGACAGCATACCTGGTACAATTCCATTGTAATCTTACTAGTGACTTTTACTCTGCTCTCAGGAATTATAAAGGATGAGTTCTGCTTCTCTTTACTCTCAAGTTATTACTCAGTGGGTTTTTTCCTCCCCCGCAAAGAGATGGGTCGTATCTGTCTAGAAAGGGCATTGGATTTACTTTTTATGAGACAAAGCCGTAGTAAGGATAGATAATAAAGATAACAGAGGAAGGAAGCCAAAGGATTGAAGGAGAGGTGCAAAATTAAGCCTAACAAAATAAAGAACCAACACCTACGCAGCATTACAGGCACACCATTCAGAAAGGATTTTACATTACCAGTTAGGACAACTGACAGCTTTCTTTTTTCTTTCTTTTTTCCTTTTGGCGGAACGTGGGATTCAACTCAGGCCCTTGTGCTTGCCAAGGAAGCACTTATTCCACTGAGCCATCTCCGGGCCCAACTGACAGCTTTCTACAGTCTGCCTTCCCTTCTGATCAAGCTGAGATAACAACTTCTCAACTCTCAAGTACTTAACAAGGTTATGAACAGATGGAAGGAAGCTGACGGAAGTTTCTTGAATCCTAAAGAGCAGAGAAAGGTAGCTGAAAACCGCTGTGGGAAGAACAACCGCAGCCACTTAGCAGGGATGACTTCATCATTAAGCCTCGTGGGCAGTGCCTCCCAAAACCTTCAATCCACCCTTTAGCCCCGCAATTTGCTGCTTAAGTCCAATAACAGGCTTCAAGTAGAACAAACTCCAAAAATGATGCATCCAAAGGTTGAGATGATGTCAGTATTGCAGAGAAATGCAACTCTACTTTCTTCTAGTCACCTCTCCAGATTGCCAGTAACTTTAAAAGTCATTCAAGGCTAGACATAGTGTGCCTGTCTGTAATCCCAGCTACAGGGCAGGCTGAGGCAGGAGGATCAAAGTTTGACTCAAGCTTAGGCAACCTGGTGACTTACCAAGATCATGTCAAACAAAGAACAAAAGAATGAAAGGGAGGGAGGAAGGAAGGTTGAGGATGTTGTTCACTTAGTAAAAAGGCTCTGGGTTTAAACCCCAGCACTGAAAAATAAGAAAAAATGCAATTCAAAGGGTCATCAATTAGCACTAAAATGTTGTGAACCATGCTACCCAGTATCAGTTCAGTTCCCAGACATACACGAAGTGATCTTGAATTTATTAAGGCAATTTTAAAATGTTTGGAATATGGGTTTGTTTTTTTTTTAATATTTGTTTATTTGGTAAAGTGTCTCACTATGCAGCTCAGACTCAGTGTTATCCTCCTGTCTCAGCCCCTCCAGCGCCGGCATTACAGCGCACCACCAGGCCTGGTTTCAGTGACTGGCATGCCATGTTTTGGTATGTGGTACTGGGGATCGAACTTGGGTCCTTGCGCTTGTCAGGCAGGCACTTAAACTGCTGAG